CCTACCTTACAAGACCTGGAGTGGATCCTCAGCCTTGGATCCAGTGTGGCCTGCTGTGTTGTGACAGAGCTCCATTCATATGTGCATTGCTTGTACAGCTCTCTTGCATGCCCTGTAGTGGTGCCGGGAGCCAGAATGTGCAAACACTCCGGTCCAGGCCACACAAGGGAGCTGTAAGCAATGCACATATGGATGGAGCTCCCTCGTGGTCATAGCCACATCCTATCCCACCGTAAGATGACACTTAGTGCAGGGCGGCATATTTTGAATGGCTGCCAGGCACGAGAACTGACAGTGCTGCGCTAGGGGGAGGCAGAGGAGCCTCTCACCTAAAAAAGTGGAAGGAATGCGGCGACCCACTGAACACGGGGTCGCGACTCACTTTTGGGTCACGACCCACCAGTTGAGAACCAAGGCTTTAGGGAGATTAACCCTCTCTATTTGTCCTGGTGACCGGTATCACTGAAAGTGATACAGATTCCAAATTTTGGGTTGTCATCAGAATAAGAATTGATAGGAAATCTTCCAATTGGGACACTAGTTCTTGTGACCCGGCTGACCACTGGAGATCTCCCTATCTTTGAAGGGATTTCCTCTTACTTCCTTTTGTAGCTATTAGACAGGAAGTAAAGGGAGATCTCCCCAATGGAAACAGATAGCAAAAATATAAAAAAAGCTGACAGGGGTTGTAATCATCCCTTACTCTATCCAAAACAAAAAAAACGGGAAGTATTGCCTTACAGACCTCTTTTTTCTTTGTCTGCGGACCTGTGTAAAGTCGCATGAGGTCCTAACCAGCTCACAGCGTGATAAGAGATTACACCTCTTTGTACTTCATAGCCTGACATTGTGTATTATTAGCCTGACATTGTAATATAGTTGTTTTGTACATATTTCTGCCCCTAGGAAAGCAGATTTCTGACCCTAGAAAATCTAGCGACAAGACATTCCAACACTGTGAAAGATTTTAGAGTTGTCTTCGAATGGGGACATCTGTTCTGAGGACAACTGTAGGAATCCCCTCTTTCTGTTGTGTCTCTGGGACAGGGAGTGAAGGGAAATTTCCCCCGATGGTACAGACAGTGGTGTATTTTGGTTTTGTGCTGCTCTAGGCAAGAGTAAACCCGAGCACCCCCCTCCCCCGCCTAATCTAAATTAGTCCCACCCCTTCCTGTTTAAGACATTTTGCATAACCTGTCAGTCGCAGGATAAAGCGTGCACGGTGTATGTAGCGGGATGCTCAAGTTCTACCTTTGCAATAGCCACCTTCTCCATTCCTGGCTTGATGGGCTCCCTAGTTCTGCAGCTACAATATCCATTCTCTCCTGCCCTGCCATGCTGTGCACTGGGCCCTCTAATTCTGCAGTCACCAATCTTCTGCCTCGGCCGCTGGGCTCTGTAGCTTGCCCTGCTCTAGAGACATAACCCTGCACGGAGCTTATAGGCTGCACTTTCCCGGACTCACCACCACGGAGGTGCCGATGAGCACGATGACCATCTGGATCTCAGCACTGGGGTCCTGAGGAAGCTCCTCCGCTGCCTGAAGTCAGAAATTTTGGTGCTGGTTTCCCAGGGAGGTCCGACGCACGAACTGCCAGTGCATCCAGACGAAAGTCACACACACCAATACATTGCTCAGCATGTTGACCAGGAAGAGGAAGGAGCTGCAGTCAGCATATATGTAGGAGTAAGCGGCAAAGGCAGACACTTTGGTCCCCCAGTCAAAGAAGCACCAGGTCCAGGGGTACTGGCAGTAATTTATGAATCATTTATAATATAATTTCTTTTTTTTCTCTTATCTAACTGGTTTTGGGCTAGCAATTTTTGGCCCCCCCCCCTGGAAAGTGCCGCCCTAAGCAAATGCCTACTTTGTATGCCTACAAATGTATCTACTGCAAGAGTAGATACACCCCTGGGTACAGACTGTAAAAAAAAACCTGGTATGTGTTTTAAAAGCTAGGTTTACCTTTCCTCACAGGCTTCTGTTGATTTTTGGAAATGACAAAGCAGTGCGTGGCTCTCCCCACACAGCTGTGTCATCACAGATCCTTTGATAGCATCTGTAAATGGAGAAACTAGCCCCCGCAGCAGAGGCACTTGTAGTTTTCAGTGGAATACAAGTGTGGTGATCCTTTCATGCTTTCTCCCCTCCTTGTTACTGAATGTCTGTACCTCTGTACAGACAGTGATGGGAGAAAAAGTCTGCAGGAGCCATAGCATTGCATCCGTGATCCACTTATCATGGTTGCAATGCTCTACTGGCTCCTATGCAAAAAAAAAAATACAAATATTTTCTATTATGTGCATTTTTATTTTTTTTTACTTTACTTTTAACCGATCCCTACTCTATACAAAATAAAAACGTTTGGGCTATACTGTAATGAAACCTCCCCTAGCACTGCATTCCCAACGCTTTAAAATGTAATTTCACAAGCCATGTCAGAAAAACAAAGCACACGCACCCATGTACTAGGGTTGCCACCCGTCCGTTTTTCGCCCGGACAGTCCGGGTTTGGCGTCTTGTGTACGGGTGTCCAGCCAGCGGGCACCCGTACACAAGACACTCTGCTGACACCGGCACTTTAAATTTTCTCGCAGATGCGGCTGCGAGGTCCTTGGTAAGTGCGATCCACGGCAGCCGCATCTGCCTGAAACCGGATCTTCCTCTGAGCTGCGGGCAGCCTGTGTCTGTTTACAGGTGCCCGCAGCTCAGAGGAAGAGTCGGGTGGCAAATCGGCAGCAGCAATGCAGCGTCAGCCTGCAGAGACTCCCTGGAGGGCAGAGCACAGGATTCCAATACAGCAGCAATGGACGGCTGGCCCCGCCCACTAAGGGGATGCTGCCGGGATGAAGTCACATGGGTGATAGCCACGCCCCCTAGAGTGACAAGCCAACACACAGGAGATCCCAGGGTGCTGACAACTCTGCAGCGTTGTGGTATGTATACTGAAGAAATTCAAAACTTAAATGTCATCATCTGAGGACACATAGACCTGTAGCACTTATTTATGTATAAATAAGTGTGTCTGCAGTGTATATTCGTGTAGATGGGGTCAGGGGTCATTAATAAGTAATGTGATTTAAAGAGACCCTGTCACCTCATGCATATCTCAAAACTTTAAAAAAAATGTTTTTGAATAAAGTAGGTGAGGGATAAAAATATTTATTGGTGTTTTTTGCCATTCTGCATCCCACTCGAGACTTCTCTTTGCTTCCTGTCATGTAAACATAACAGGAAGTGAGAGCAAATGTCTCCAAAGCATGCCTCCCAAATTTATATAGAGGGATACTGGCACCAGGTGCTGGAACAGGCAACCCTCTTCCCTAGGTGCTGAGACATTGGGAAAACTGTCCTGGGGATTGGTTGAAATGCACTGGCGAAACTACAAGGGTCGCACCGGTCGCAATTGTGGGGGGCTGGGGGAATGCTGGTAATATTCTGCAGTGCTGACTTTTAGTATAATGTATTGCTGGGACTTGTAGAACTACAAATCCCAGCAATGTATTATATTTTTAAGTAGGCATGCACCAGTGCCAGTACTGGGTATTTTCACTCATGAAAATGCCCCGATACTAAGCGCAGATACCGGTGTTCTATCGGGAACGCCAACGTAGTCGAATTTGCCGACCTCAGCATCTACGCTTACGCACAGACCAGTATTATCGAGGAAACGCATTTATTTACAAAGTTTTTTGTTTAAATCGTTAATTGTGACCATTAATAATATTCCATCATTCGCTGCCATGGACGGCATATTATTGACGGTCAAAATTAACAATTAGAAACAAATACTTTGTAAATAAATGCCGGTTTCCTCGTTAATCCCGTCTGTACATAAGCGCAGATACTGGGTCAGCGTTCTCGACAGAACACCGGCACTAAAATTTTAAACAAGAGGCTGCCCGAGGTCCCGCACTTGCTGGGGACCTCGGCAGCCTTCCTGTTAACCACGCGGTGCCATGGCGGTTGGGGGGCCCTTCATGGTTTCTTACACCGGGGCCCTGAAGGTTCTAGTTACGCCTCTTGAAATCCCAGGACAGTCTGGCAGAAATCAGGATGGTTTGGTGGTATGCCAAAGTGAGGTAAATCTTGCCATTCCGTGTCCCATTCAAAAGATTTCTCCTAACTTCCTGCAGGAACAATAGGAAGTGAGAGCAAATGGGCGCGGTTTAAGGGTAGGGTTGCCACCAGTCTGGTTTTGGAGTCTTGTGTCCGGGTGTCCAGCCAGTGGGCACCCGGACACAAGACACTCAGTGCCGACACCGGCATTTTACATTTTCTGACAGATGCGTCTGTGGAGGTCTTTAGGAAGTGCAATCTCGGGCAGCCGCATCTGCCTGAACCCGGATCTTTCTCTGAGCTTCCGGCAGCCTGTGTCTGTTTACAGGTGCCCGCAGCTCAGAGAAAGGGCTGGGTTTTAGGCAGATTCGGCTGCCTAAGACCATGCTTGCCAAGGACCTCCACAGACGCATCTGTCATTGCCTTCTCCTCCTCCAGCTCCCTGCCCACCTGCGGACCCCTGGTGAGACACTATAGCCCATACAGCCCACATGAGAGCCCGCACAGCCCACCAGGTCACGTGGAGACATCAGTGTGTCAACACAGAACAACACAGAGTATGTAGCTTCATATTATTTTATATTGCTGTATAATGTATTGCTGGGATTTGTAGTCCACTCTAGCTGGTCTCCTCACTCCCTCCCCTGGCTGCCTCTCCTCTATAGTCTAAAAACAAAAATTGCCGCGTGTGGCGCTAGAGTGTTCAGGTTTCACTTGAAGAAAAGGTGGCAACCCTACCATGTACACTAGCCCAAAGTGGTTTTATTTTTGTGGCATCTTTATTTAACATGACACTGAGCATTCCGGGTGTGTATAAGAACAGAATGTTTCTGGTATGTGATAACAGTGGCTCTGTTTGCTCCTCATGTATTAGAAGTGATACGTGCTCCTCTGTGGGATGCGAGTAACTGCCGCCAGACCGGCGACGCCGTCACGTGACTACCCGCACTCCACCACTAGCCGCGCTCCAAGCGCCAGCCAGACTCCTGGGTGAGCGGCGGGTCTAGTTCACAGTCTAGTTCGCTGACGTCACTTCCGGGGCACAGTGGGCGCGTGCAGGGGGGGCCGGGAGCCCAGGCGAATGGTCAAAATGGCGACCGCTCAGTTAACGGACGAAGAGCTCGTCTCTGAGTTAAAACGCTCGGGTGTGATGCCGGGACCGGTGACGGATAACACTAGGCCGGTCTACCTGAAGAAACTAAAGAAGCTGCGCGAGGAGCAGAGGAGTCGAGCGGGGAAGACCCGGGCAACCAACAACAGCCTGGCGGCGGAGGGTCGCTTGGAGAGCGGAGGAGCCCGCCCGCTGGCTGGGGAGGTGACGCATAGGCGAAGCAGCCGACAATACCCGCAGACGGAGGCCGGGAAGTCTCCGGTGCTGCTGGGCTTCAGCTCCGATGAGTCAGACGCAGACGTCGGCGGCCGCAGGGAGAGAGGCACCCCTCCCCAGACGGCGAGGAACCCGGCCCAGCGGGGCTGTGCGGACTCTGTAGACGGGCGGAAGGCGCCGGTCTGGTGGGGGACGCGCAGGCCGCACAGCCCACAACAACACCGTAGCGACTACGAGCAAGAGGAGGCAAGTAAGAGCCGGGCGGTGAACGGCAGCCGCATTTCCTATTGCAAGGACTATTCGGATTCCGATGAAGAGGAGCCGGCTAAGGACGAGTCACAGTGCCGCCGGACTAGGCGGAGTGTGAACAGGCAGGCCCGGGACAACGGTATGGATCCTCCCGAGCAGGCCAGCAGATCGGGCTGGGACAGGGAGTATAGCCAGGCGTCTCCCAGACATCGGGCGGCCGCCAGGAAGTCTACAGACACAGACACAGGGAAGAGCAACAATCACCTGAACTACAGCCCGGATGGCTCCCGCCTCTATATGGCGAGCAACAGCATTCCCAGCCGGCTCCCTTACTCCAACCATGCCGGATCAAACCACACGTACTACCCGTACAGCAGCCACAAGAAAAAGCCCAACAAGCTGCCCGAGCCCGAGGAAGAGCTACTTCAACAGTTCCGGAGTGCAGAGGTGTCCCCAACGGGGGGCTTCAGTGCCCATTACTTGTCCAGGTTCCTGCTGATCGCGGCCTGCCTCTTTTTCTTCTTCCTGGGACTTACCTATCTGAGGATGAGGGGTACAGGCCTTGCTGGGGAGGAGAGCTGTAAGTATACACAGAATCGGCCTAGCAATGGTATATTGGCAGAGCTGCTTCTAAGATTTCCCATGAGGAAATTGAAGTACTCTAGGCAGAAATCTTATTAACACTTGCACTGGGGCTACCCGGCACTGCTATTACATCGTTAAAGCAGCAGGAACATCTGCTTCTTGCACAGTTATGAACTGTGGGAGATGCCAGCAACTGCCTGCAGAAAATGTGGGGGGCAGATATAAGACCAGTCATTCTACACAAGGGGGGGCAGCAGTGATGATTGGTCCTTTATTACAGGAAGCTGCTGCTGCACCTGGTTTTCTACTGAATTACTGCACAGATCTGGAAGAAAATATATTGAAAACTCCCAAGTTTTAGTTAAAAATGCCTCTTGTATGCAGTGGCGTCAAAAGGGGAATTCGGGACGCACCCGGGTGCCACCATTGGAGGTGTGACACCAAAATGATGGCCAGTCATTTTGGTGTCACCCCCTATGAAAAGCTGGGCACTCAGTCATGGAGGGGACCCGGCGGCATACCTCATCCCGCCGAATGAACGTCCCCTCCTCTTTCTGCCGGCGCCCAGCACCAAGATGGCAGGTGCCAATAAGATGGCCAAGCATGCGCAGTCGACGTCACGCGCATGCATGATAAAATCACGGCGGGGTATCACCCCTTCTCCGCTCCGGGTAACGCTTTGCCCGGGATGCCCCTGCTTGTATGCACAAGGTTTGGTTATCCCAGAGTTCAACTTTAAGGCCTTGTTCACACCAAGCGCGTTCCAAGAGCAGAGCAGTTACCGACCGGAGCAAAACTGCGTCCAATGTATTCCAATGGTATTTTTAGCTCCAGTTCACATCACAGCGTTCCGTTCCAGAGCATGTAAAAAGAACAGCAGAAGGCCCTATTTTACCTGCTCTGGAACGCATCAAAAACGCATGCAAATGCCCTGGAGTGTGGGCGAACTCTTTGGGACATTACCAATAAGGCACCTCTAATGATGTGTGCCCCATGGGTAGCTACTGATTCTTTCTGGAGTAAAGGTTTCATGCAGTGTTACGGTGATGTAGCTGCTGGAGTACACCAATCACTGTGAAGCTCCTCCATCCTGGATGTCTTGTACCTTTTGAAAGAAAAAAATGCAAGCGTTCTGTGATTGGACAAGGGGCATATGAACATCACGAACACCTTGTTTCCTTTGAGAAGAATACATGACCTATCTAACTGGAGGAACTTCACAGCATGCGACCTGCTGTGTTCCAGCCCCTACTTTTAGTTTTTAATGGTGATGTCCCTGTCAGAGGCTGCATGACAGTCAAATGTTTGGCCTCTACATTTTTCCTTTAAAAAAAAACAATGGGCCAGACCTCATTAGAGGTACTTTAACAATACCCCAATAAAGTTTTTGCCCGCACTTCAGCTTAAGTGACCAGTCACACCATCTACAGTGTGTTCTGGTGCATAGATCAAGCTGGGCAGCCTTCTGGGATGGGAGTAGGCGTGTTGGTGCCATTCATGTTAATGGCACCACAGACTCCCCCCGCTCGCAGTGCGATCGCCCATACCGGAACGCGAGGTACAGGAAAACCCTCCATTACAGTGCAATCTAAAAAAATAATGCATGCAGCATTTTTTCAGATTGCACTGCAATGGAGGGTCTGTTGACTTGACTTGCTGTTGCACTCTGATTTTCTTCCAATGAATGGGGCTAGTTCACACCAGATCTGTTGTGTTGCACAGAAAAAAAGTAGTGCATGTTCTGGGTTTTTTTCCCCAACGTAACATAATGGGTCAATGTGAACTAGCCTCATTCATGTCCATTCATTTTTTTGGTGCCCTTCTGTTATCAGTTACGAACATGTATCGCAACGCAACTTTATCCAGTGTGGCTAGGCCCTTAGGAAAGCTGCCCATGTGTAGTAACATCCCACCATTCTTCCTGCTTGGCTGTCTTAATGTGACACTAAACCCAGGCGTTTAAATCTTACAAATGCATTCAAGCACCTTAACTATTAATAAAAATGTGCCTTATTTGTGTATCACTCGGCTGTAGATCCTCAAATCAGCTCTGAATTCCACAATCTCAATTCAAATGAGTAAACTAAACATGAGGTTTTAGTCCATCACAGGAGCGAGCTTGGACTACTTTACAACAGACACTGTTCCATGGGGAACAAAAGTAAGCACCCTCCAGAAGGAAGGACAGTGTCAGCACCAATCCAGAGATGATTTGAGGATCTACAGCCGAGTGATACACAAATAAGAGACCGTTTTTGTTATTAGGGTACTTGAATGTATTTTTAAGATTTAACGCCTGAGTTTAGTGTTGCTTTAAGGGCTTGTTCACACCAATTGTGATGCGTTCCAGAGTGTTAGCTGCTGGAACGCACCGCAATCGCTCACAAAACTTCCCCCTTCGTTCTGGGGCATGGCGGTGCATTGCAACTTAATGGCACCGCGCCCCCCACAGTGCAATCGGATGCATGGCAAAACATTGGCAGCGTTCCGTTCCACTGCAAATGCAAAAAATGCGGCTTGCTTTATTTTTTGCAGTGGAACGGAACGCAAGCAATGTTTTGCATGTCTGATCGCACTGCGGGTGGGGGGAGGGGGCGTGAAAGCGGTACCATTTGCCAATCCCGCTCCAGAACGCAAGAAGTTTTGTGAGCAATTGTGGTGTGTTCCAGGGGCTACCGCTCTGGAACGCACTGTAATTAGTGTGAACAAGCCCTTAGGCTGTATTTCAGCAGTGAGGAACTAAGAATCCTAAAAGGACAGTATTTTTTTTACTGTATATGCAGCCTGACTGCATTACAGTAATAAATGCAAATAGTTAAATTGAGTTTTTGAAGCAAACACACCCACAAGCAAATGCTAATTGTGTGATAGTACAGTTACCTCCCAGAAGAGTTTTTGTAAAGTGCCCAGCTTACAAAACCATGTAATGTATTACAGCAACATCTAAGCAGGTATTCCCTTGGCTGTCATGTAGTCTGCTCCTACCCGGTCCTTTTTTCTACCTATTGGCTGCAGAGTATGATGGGGCTATTGGCATGGACAGAACAGACTGAGTAGAAATTTTATTGTTCGCTCTTTTATTACAGTGTCGTCTTTTTCAGGTAAGCTGGATACTTTACAAATTGTATGTGGTACCTGCACTTTAATGTAGCTGTACATGGAACAGGTTTGCTTTATTATCATATATACTGAAACAACCACTAAGTACCTATTTGGAGAAACTGCTCCCTTATACCACAGCAGACAGTTATGTGGCCAACTGCATAGGCATTTGGTCATGTGATCTATAAGGGTAGAACAGGCCTGTTTGAACCCTTTTCCTTCCCTTTAGCAGAAGCAATACAAATTGTGAGGTGTTTGGTCGTATGTGGCCACCTGAGCTGCATTTTCACTGTCCAAGAGAAGTCATACATATATCATACAGCAGTGGTTCTTGACCTCTCTAGGGCTGGGACGCCTTGGTAATATTTGCCAAGTTCTGGTGCCCCCCAGCAGTAAAATTTAGGGATGACGCAGCTGCTACAGCAACATCTGACAGTGCGGCGGGAGAACTGATACTGCTGCGCCAGGAGGAGCTTCTCGCCTAGCGCAGCAGAAGGCGCGCAGTGATCCACAGGTTGAGAACCACTGTTTTAAGGAGACAATGAAGCCTCTATTCCCATGGCAGTGTCACTCAGGGGGTCCTAATTAAGTGTTTGAAGGTCCCCAGAATTAGCATTTAAATTAAGCTTATAACTGAGCAGCAGTCGGTAATGTCTCAAGTGGTCAACATGGCCAGCTTTAATATTCATTGGACCCTGGGCAAAAATTTTCCTGGGCCTACCTGCCACGCAGTGTCCCCTGCCCTGCACCCACCATGCAATTTCGCTCTCCAGTCAATCGCATAGTAAACAGAATGGTTGTGCAGGGGTGGACTGACTACACGTGTACTGTACCACCCTCAGCCCTGTTCTATGACATCCTTTCCCTGTGTGCTGTACCTGCACAGCCCACATAAAACACAATGCGCAGTATATACACTGCACATGGCTATTTAACCCGTCCACTGTACTGTGAGCAGCCCAGGAGGAGGAGGCTTAGACATGGGGGAGGCTGGTTGTTACTGCACTATATCCCAGCAGGTAAGTTCAGAAGCTCCCTGCTGACACAGGCTCCCCACGCTTTGCTCAGTGCTCGCCACAGTTGCCGGCCAGTGTGCTCCCAGTTCCTCGGCATCTCAAATGCTGGGCAGTGTGTGGCTCCACCGGGACTCCCTCGGCTCTTTTCCCTGGACCGCTCGGCCTGTCAACATGCTTGGGGTGAGTCCAGGAGTGGTGTGGCCATGTCTGTCGGTGGCGGGGAGAGGGAGGGTGTGAGGAGCCCAACTAATCGACTGATCAGCGAATTGATAACGAAAAATAGTTGACAGACCTATTTTCTTTTTCGATTAGCTGTTTCAGCCCTACACTACCCCATACATGTCACTGTGTTTTGAACTACTGCCAAGGTTGGGTTGTGACGCAATTACATTTATTTAAGGGCATTTGACTCAGAGAATTGGGATTGGAAGACTGCATCCTGTTATATTTCTGCTTGCTAACCACATGGTAGATGTAGTTTGTATGTGCAAAACACTGTTTAAAATGCATACTGCAAAATACACTTTACAAACATCTTGTAATGCAAATTATTTTCCTTTAGAAACTGTATTTTTTTGTATTAATGTTTAACAGGTTAAGAGCCCATGAGTGCTTTTCTTGCGCTCATTTTCTGTGTGGGTTGAGTTTTTTTGGATACTGCAGAGTGAATGGAAATATATTGAAACTGCACAGTGTGTTCCTGTTTTTGTAAATGGTGGAGGTGGAACATTATACCGACATCTTATACCATTCTATAACTCAAGCCACGAAATTTTCCCACTGGATATTCTGCAAAGATTTTTTGTTAGTTTTTAGGCCATACTTAATAATTAGGAAGAAAGAGATCCTGTCAAGATAAAACACTAGCTACCTGCAGAAATCAAATTTTCTGTGCAGTTGCGGTCTAAACTGAAAGATCTTTCAATGGACAGATCAGTTGAACAGGGAAAAGCACTACTAGACTATGGTCTCAGTTCCAGCTAATCTTCAGGGGACTGTAATGATTGGCTGGGAAAATCCAACCTGGCTAGTAAAATTAATTCTTCCTAGACAGGGTTTATCTGAACAGGTTGGAGAGTGGATTTAAATTTTGACTTTTAAAGGTGCGTGCTCCAGGACTATTCTCTTCATTTATGCTGCACTATTAGTGAGTCGGTGATCAGGAACAAGTATGCAGGTCAGTGGACTTGAGTTCCCTACTTTGAGCTCATTTGACGCTATGGATCTGATAGGTCATTGAGAGAATACTACAAACTAAACTTATTTCTCTAAAGTCACCAATCAGATGTAAACTGTCAGGACAGGTTTGACTAATTGATGTCTGGAGGGAAGTAACTCTAGGCTTTTGAGCTTGTACTGGGATAAGTAGCATTGGAAGCATAAGAGTGATGACTTAAGAGCTTGTGCTGTTAAAATTAAAGAATTTGATATGACTTCAATTGCATCCTAACCCATTATTGATGTGTAATGCTAAAATGAGGTTGACGATTTACAGTAGATGAAAACTCAACGCATAACTACGCTATGGCAATGCTTACCCGCTGTTAAGCATGCTGTTTATGTAAAAATGACATTTATAAAGTACCTCTTTGCTTTAGTTTCCCAGTGGTCACATTACCAATGTGTCTTCTCTTTCACCCTAGCTTTGGGTGGATCCTATAAGGCACCTGGCGCCAGTGTCGCAAATCTCAAGACCTGTCCATGTTGACACCCAAAATCATTCCAGTAATCCCAACCTTGCTCCTTCCTTATCCCTATTAAATAATGTCCATCAAACTGAAGGGAGGAATAGCACCGGATCTGTGTGGCCAGTCTTGATTGCACAGGAAGAGGCAGGCCTTGAGGGGCACACTGATAATGTGGCGTTGGAATGGCAAGGCAAACTGACCACAGAGATGCCAGGTTACCATTACATTGTATCTGCCCCTATATCTAAAAGTTCTTGACTTCAACTAAGCGGCTCCAGTGTCTAATAATCGATGAAAATAAAGTGATATTGAAGTCCCAAGGATTTTAAGCTATTTCAAATGTTGATGAAATAGCTTACAATGGATGCTGCTCCTTCATGTTTAAAAGTTTTTTTAGTTTCCTGCAGAATCAGCTGGTCACCTGCGTACTGGTCCTAACTTTTCTTTTTTAGTGACTCATTTCTCAAGCAGAGTGCTATGCAGTCACCCTTGTATGTGCTGGTAAGCTGTGTGCGTCTCTACAAACACACAGACACAGCAAATAAAGCTGCTTCCCTCTCCCCTGGCCCCCTCTCCTCCCTTCTCCAAGCTAGTAGATGAACAGTTGCTGGAGTCTGCTCTGTCCTTTTTGTGAAATTGTACTGGGCCGGAGGTTCAGGGTAGCTGAGAGACTTGGAAGCAGCTGTACAGAAACATGATTGTTTTGGGCAAGAATGTAAAGCAATCCTTTGCTGGGCAATGTATATTTGTTCTGGATTCATTATTGAAAAAAGTTTGAGTATTTAATACTACTTTAAAACATTTCCACTAGTGCAGTGCTTCCTCATAATTTTACTAGAAAGCGATCTATAAAGTGCTATATGTATCAAATAATACACCGTAAATAGCAATAAGTCAAATGTGCAATCCAAAGTCATCAGTTGACTGATGCAATTGTGTGAAGTTGATGTATTCCTTTGCGATTCTCCCAAGTACTGTGTCATTTTCATGAATCACTGTGTTGCTCCGCCTCAGTGAAAATTGCATATACTTTTATTTCACAGGGTTAGTGCATTTAATTTCTTATCCAATAACTCCAGTTAGGATCTGGTTACTTTTATATGTGTGTGTGTGTACAATGATGCATGCACGCGTTCCTTGGATTATAATGGACAAAAGCCCTAGGCACACATAAGTAAGCGTATGCTTTCACTTCAGGATAGGGGATTCCCTTTTTTTTCCCCCCTAATGGAGATGTCCACTGTCCTGTTTTATAACGTAATTTCTGTTTAAAAAGTAAATATGAAGAATAGTTTTCATGTTAGGCAGGCTTCTCAAACCCAACCAAAGTATTCAACTTGTTCACTCCTTCACATGACTGTTCATGTATCATATAGAGGCAGATTTCAGCCTGAAATTTCTGATTTTACGGCTTAGTTAATTTCTGTCTCACAACTGGTTTTCCTCACCGCTAGTTTTATGAAGTATGTATATTTGTAAGCATGTGTTTAAAACTGAACATGTACCAATACGTAATGATTTTTACCTAAACGGTTGTTTTTTTTTTGTTCCCTCAGTACGAAATCCTGATGACCTTCCTAGTAATGTAAGTATTAAAAATATTGTAAACCTTTTTTCTCCTTCTAGGCTTAGGGGGTAATTTATAAACAGGAGTGCATTAAGGCCACTTTGTTGGAGTTGAAAATTGATTATGGCTTAATTTTAAAATGTTATTCCTTGTGGTTATAATTAAACCATTTCATCCAGTTATGTATTTTAAAATATTGCTGATGAAATGCAATCTTTGTATTGGTGTCTCACAATCTTGCATACCAGAAATCAGTGATCTGAAGTCATGCTGATAAAACATTGAGTGCTAATTGTATGGTCCAAGCATATTAACTGAGCATACAGAAATAAAAGTAATAAAAGAAATTGCAAATATCAGTAGAAGCTAATCCAGTGTAATAATCTATAGATTACATGGCAACACGACGATGAAGGACCCAAATTGATTTGTATAGCTGTGTAAAAAGAGTATAAATATGAAGTATGCAGGTTAATATGCCAAACTAATCGGTAATAATTGTAGAAGTTGCAATATATCTTGCTATCAGGGTATCTCTTGCAACCCTCAATGCAAACATATAATCGAAAATGAAAAGCGCAGCACTGGTGAATAGATCACTGCTCCTGCTTGCCCCTGGCAGATACTGAGCATGTGTGGTTGGCAATCCCAGCACATGGCAAGGCACACCACCATGTGTTCACTCTCAGTAGCTGAACAGAATTAGAATTGTTTGGCAGATAACTGTTCACATTTATGTACTGTATGTTACAAGTGTGCATTTATCAGAATAGAGATTTGATTTGCAACCAGCTACTGTGCTATACATACTATACATTTTATTTCTACTATATGAAAGAAGGATAAGATGCTGGCTACAGTTCATTTTACTTTTAGCGCATATGTTGGCTATTCCTTTAAGGAGAACTATGTAGCAGTAGCTTGCAGTATACTGAGCTTAGGGTGACTGGAGGACGCTAGTTTGTCTCCTCCCGTAACCCTAAGGAGAACTATGGGAAAAAGCCTTAACCCCATAGTTCTCCTTTAATGATACCCCTGAATGCCAAGCTGTTCTGATTTGGCAAAACTTCAGCACTTTGTCATTGTGATGAAGCTTGCCTGCCTGACCTCTTTCCTTCCACACATTTCCTGTTGGTTAGTGAGGCTAAGGGCCACTTGGAATGTGTGAGGGTGGGAATTTGTGTTACGCCCTGACACCAATATCTGGATTGGATCAGAGCTTTGCCTGGCATTTGAGAAAACCAGAAGATACTGAAAGCTGCTGCAGGTATGCTCCATTCTTACCAGTTAGTAACCTTTAGTATTCTTAAAGAAAGTCTTTAAATCTGATGTCTGTGTCGAAAGAGCAGTAGAGGAATTGAACTTGGTACTGGTACATATTTGACGCCTTATGTTGTCAATGGCATTGTGCTCACCTACTGTTTGTATTTATTTTTTGCTTGTTTTTCAATGTTTCACTTTTTGTTTTCAGACTGAGAAAAATCGGCTGATTAATACTCTTCATAAACTTCATGATAAATTGGCTAAGACAGCAGGTAAATATTGCATCTAAGAAAATAACACAGCGTTAAGGTTGAGCAAATAAATAATCAAACATCCAGTGTTATAAGTGCACGAGGTATTTATAATCTTCCAATGATACATATATAAATATAATTGAATGAACAAATGTGAATATTATGAACCTAATCAATTAGAACTCTGTGAAAAATCTTCAGTGATTATCCTTCAATTCTCAAAAATATACAGTCCATAGAGTTATAGATACACTGTGGCAAAAACAAATTTATTCAGTGTCCATAAAAATTGATACTTTGTAGATCAGTCCCAGCAAGTGTCAGTGAAAAAATGTGTTTAAATAGATTCAGTGAAAAACACTTTAAATAGTGGAGGAAGCGGTTCTTATTCTCAATCCACCATTCTCTCGATCTGCCCGCCCGAATATTCGGCAGATCGAGAGACGGGGTCGATACCTTTCAGCGGGGCTACACTTGCTCACTACATCTGGTGAGTAATTATAGTCATCAGGGCAAACACAGGAGTGACTCTTTCAAGTGACGACAAACTACGATCTATCCAAAATGAGAAACCTTTGTGCACTTTATGGAAACGGTGACTCTCTAAGTGAATTGATTTATTTACTGTCTTATGCTGTTTTTTTGAAAACCTTTTTTCTTTCCCAATTCTTGTAGGAGATTATATGTGTGGTGATGTAGAGTATGGTCGTATTTCTATCCAGGAGGCAGCTGAATATTTACAGGTTGGTACTGTCCTTTTTTAGCGCTCCCTGGCTTTTGTCATAAGAATCCTTAACGGAGAACTATGAGGTGAGTGCTTTTCACTCACCTCATAGTTCTAGCCGACCTGTGACAATGAGACTGTCACAGGTCGGCTCAGTAGATCGGGAGGTGAGCGAACACATACCAGCGTTTGCTCACTTCTCGATCCTGTCACTGCTCTCTGCCGTGACAGGGGAGGGGCTGGACTCCCCCCAGCACTGACTGGCAGAACGGACGGGGGAGGGTGCGGGTACAGCTGGCTCTGCCTCTAGATAGGCAGAGCCAGCTGTCACTCGCGCAGCTGGGCAGATCCAGACATAATTGTCGGGATCCTTTTCAGCCGCATCGTCTCAGTATACCGCAAGCTGTAGCTCGCGGTACACTGAGCTTAGGGTGATGGGAGGCCTTAACCCCATAGTTCTCCTTTTAATGCTTTTTTCCCTGTTTTTTTCTTTTCATTGCAAATACATTTTAAACTTAAAATTACACTCCTGTGTAACTTACTCCCTCTATGCATTGCAAAGCTTAGTGTGTTGTAAGGATTCCAGGCATTGTTGTGGCGTACCAATTTGTCAGTAATCTGATCTGAGAACCCCTTTACTTAGATTTGCTCTTTTTACACTTGTATAAACGCATAACAATATTTTATTTGTGAATTATATTCACGTTCTAATTTAATTTACAATCTGAATTCAACAGGGGCTTGGTCAAGAATATGTCAGTCAGTTTAACAACTCCTTGAGATGGATTTTACAGTCTGGAAAAGATGTTGGAATAAAGTAAGTGTTTGTTTTTAATATAAACATTCCTTCTTCCATAGTGTGTAAAGCAATTGATACCACCCTTTTATTTATTTATTTTCTTTTATACTTTTGTCCTGCTGTCAGGGGTTGTGTATACAGTAAGCAAATATGAATGCCCAATGCAGAGTTTCTTGCTTTTGTAGTGCTTCACAGCAAGTTTTGAGTTACTATTCTGTCTCACAGGGCAAGTGTGAACTAGTTGACTCATTAAAAACTGCATTCCCTTTGGGGCTCCTGTTTTATCCCCACAGTAAAGTGTATTCTTTTTAGTACATTAGGGAAACGGGGATTTAAATATAACCCCTATACCCAGCATGCCTCAGGTGGTGTGGGTTTTTTTTTTTTTCTCCTTCCCTTCATTCATTCCTTCTCAATCAACTTCAAGATTTATCTGTAAAAAATAAGGGAAGGCAACTGGACTTGCTGTATTTTTCTTGACTACGTTTCACTGGACATCCAACCAGCTTTCTCAAAAAAGCTGGTTGGATATCCAGTGAAACGTCAAGAAAAATACAGCAAGTCCAGTTGCCTTCCCTTATTTTTTACAGATATACCATGACCTGCATGAATGAGAACCTTCAGACGTTCAATCAAGATTCCTCACTGCTTGATCTGGTCTATACATAACAGCTATCTGGATTGCTGTTTCCCCAGCCTAGCTTTAGATTCCATACGCAGACCCAACTGGATGGGTCTTATCATTTTCAAGTAATTTTCCGAATGCTAACTTTGTGACTTATGAATTTTTGCCAAATGTGTTTTACAAACATTTTGTTTTAAACAGATGTTCTGGGGACATAGAAGATGATGTTGCTTTAACTATCACCAGTGTAAAGTATTTGGAATCTACACGGCCACAGATGTCCTTTTTCTGTCGCATCCGACGCGCATTTATTACTGTAGCCTGTAGGCTGTCCCTTTTACCTCTAGGTAATTTTTGTCTTTTGTTGTTCACATATGATTGTGATAAATTGTGGAACTCTTTTAATAACGTTTAACTGTAGCACGCCTTATGGTTCTTGCATCCATCAGGAGTATTTCTATTTAGCCCCTATGAATACTAAAATGGCTATTTTTTAAAGACTTTTGGGCAGGAGATGGTTTTTCATTAAGAGTATCAACATTTTATTTTAAAAAATGTTTTATATGCACATGACTGCCTTTCATCTTTGTGGGCTACATGAAAGAGGTTGATATAGTTAAAGAGCACTAGAGTGCATAGACAGCCTAGTTCTCCAAGCAGATGTATCCTCACAGGTCTGTCAGTGGAGGCTGGAGAAATAAAGCCGCATGATAAACTTTAACTTCGCCATGGCTTTAGATATTGGTAAGGGAACAGGCACTTTTTGTGCAGGGAACGGTTTTGTCACTTATGGTGCACTTTATTCAAAACCCTGATATTTGCAAGAATGGAGAGACTGGTTAAATCTCTAAAAAGTGTACTGTTAATCTAGAGAGTATATATGCATTTCACATGTGATGTGATATATATGTATGTGTGTAATATATATATATTTATATTGTTATTATTCAGGTATTGCTACAGTTTGGGCTGTTCTTCGATATATGAAATATCGTTGGGCAAAAGAGGAGGAGGAAAATAAACAAATGTATGACCTGGTCATAAAAATTATAGGTAAGCCCTAAATATGGTTTAGTCGCTTTTGGATTTAAAGGGATGTTTAAATGCTTACTAAAAGGCCTCACCAGTTCTGCAGGGTATATGTAAGTAGTCCACCTCCTAATAGTCCCTCACTACCCTTAGGCTACATCGTTTTAAATCTATAGCTTTTTATTGAAGAATATCAATATACAAAATAGGTGCTATGAGGGATTATCTCATAGCTCCTGTCTGCTTATTTAATACATTTTCCTTGTGCACCACCTAGGCCTTTTCTAAAGGGTTTTGCACTGAGCAATCAGAAGTGCTCTGCTTGATGGTGAGAGAGATATATAGATATATTCTAGTATATTTTAGTGAGCACATAGAGTTACTGTTGCACTTCTATTTTTGATATTGCTTTCATATTTTCATGTTTGCTGTTCATAGCCATGCATTGTGAGAGAGGGGTAAAGCGCAACCATTAAGTGGCACTGCAGTAGTAGGAAGCAAAGCTTGCATGTGTAATAAAATATGGCTGCCTCATATGTCCCTATCTGATTACAAATTGCTCAGAAACATGGTTTTAAAATACACAAGATTTGCATATAGCTAATGAAGTGTGTTAGTGCTGCCACTAACTTAAGCCTTACATTGGTGGCAGTGAAAGGGTTAAACTGTGTTCAAAAAAAAAAAACCCCAGTGTGTCCTTAAACAGGCAAATTGGTCTGTTGTCATTTTGCCTGACTGCTATATTTGGTTTTCGCATCTAGGCTTTATTGACCTGTGGCCATGAAAGTATTTCCGATTTAAATTTGGTGAAAGCAGACTGTAAAGTTGTTTTATAGGAATCTTCCGTGGATTGACTGTTCAGTCAGCATGCACATGTATAACTATGTACCTAAAAATATCTTAACTTATAAAAGTAGGAAAGTTTGTATATATTTAGCAAGTGTCCAATTTTTGCAAGGGCAAAAAAAAGGTCATGTAGATAATTATTTTCAGCTGTTTGCATTTTTTTTCTAGATGTTTTGAAAAGTCATGGTGAAGCTTGTCAAGAAAACAAAGGGCTTGATCCATACACACCAATCCCACATGTGAGAGACTCATTGATCCCAGCTTGTGACAGGTTAGTATTTGTCAGTATGGCAAAAATTTGTAAATTGGTTGGAAAGTAAATCTAGTTTTCATTTTACTGTTTATAAAACCTGAATTGCTTATTTCTCCATCATCCATTGAGGAACACAGCTTGGAGGACTGTATGATGCATATGGGTATGCTGCTGCCTACAGGAAAATGGACACTAGGCAAAAAAATTTACATTTGAAACTTTAAGGACATAACCCCTCTCACCTTACACCAGCCAGTTTCACATGGTGTTCTCAGGAGAATGGATGTCTCCTATTTTTTTGTTTGTTTCTTTGGAGAGATTCTTCTCTCCAGCTGCCAGTTGATTCATACAGGATACAATTAAATCCTGGAAGTCTCTCTAGTCGGCTGACAAAACTGGTAGATTCATGCCAGATAAAATGTAAATCCTGGACGTTTCTCCAGTGGTCCGGAAGCAGGTCATCTCTAGTCTCAGTGATAATGAATGCGGTGGTCCTGAATAGGGATTGACTGATTATCGGGGCTGATATTCCTAACTTTTTTCTTTTTTATCAGTATCTGTTACATGTACCAATATTAAACACTGCAAATTTCAGCCGGTTCTTAAGTAACTAGCCGCAATTTGCTCAGTGGGTGCCTCTGTCTGGCCGGCATCCTCGATCAGCTGACAGAGCAATCAGAAAATCTATGTAGGAACAGAGCTGGCAGCCAGTGACCTGCTGGCTTTGTTCGGTATTCTGATGGTGGCCGCTGTCGGAATACAGAAATTGCAGGGGAAGCAATAGCCAGCCTGCTATTGCAATTTGAAACAGCCAAAAGCAGGCTGGCTATTGCTCCAAGCCACTGCGAATCAGTCGGCAGATAACTCTCCTTCAGGTCCGACCTCCCTCTGCTCCCCTGTGACAGACAGTATGCTGGTCCCGGGCTCACACCGGAGCGCGGGACCAGCTTGACAGCGGGGGGGAGGGGGGAGCGTGCGTCACAGGACCTCATACAAGCGATCCGCCGGCTCTAGTGCTTTGAAAGGTACATGTCAGACACGCAGGACTTCCCGCGCTCGTTACTCAAGTACGGCTTCAGCCCTGTGTGGATCTGTTTGTGTGTAAGCACCTTGGATTTGCGATTGAAGCATTTTCTCTATCTAGAACAGAAGAGCTTCTCGTCTGAGCAACTTCTGCTGTGTTCCACAAAGTGAGCCCTGAATTTGAAGCAAAAAGATTGCTATAGAGGCAACAAAACTTGTGTAATGCAGAAATAGATGTGCCATCAGAGTTCTGTGGAATCAGATGCTTTCTGCAATGGGGGGGGGGGGG